TTTTTTTTTTTTTTTTTTTCCTGATGGCTACGATCTCATTTTGCTCGATAGAGTTAGGTCTTTTTATGCAAACTTTTTTTAAGCCACGATCAACCACGGATAACAAAGATATGCTGAAGACAAAACACCGTCAAGTCTCAGGTTTTGAATCAATTACCTTCAGAGACGTTGAAGGAAAGGGAAACGAGTTTTTCGTTTTTTGCCATTTTCTTAGCAGAGCAATTAAACAGATGAGACACTTTATATATTGTATACATACCCCAGGCAATGTCGGTGTATCCTCCAAACACGTAATGTTTTTTTCTAATTATAGTAACAGTGTGGGGCTTGCCATCACAGCGACTGTGGAATGTACTTGCAGCCCAGCCGTGAGAGGAGGCGCGGTAACACAGTTTCCAAATGTGTGAACCAGGCACAGGATCTAAAAATCGGCTGAGATGACTGATGAAGAAGTGATTGCTTTGGATAATATCTGACTGTATTTCCATCCCTAAAATCAAGGAAAGTAGGTATAGTAAGTTGCAGTCCTCACGGTTTTATTCTCAGCGCAACTCATTTACGTATATATGATTATGCATATATTTTACCTTGTTTCAACTTCTAGCCACAAAAATATATAAATAAATAAATGAGTAAATAAATAAATAAATAAGTAAATAAATAAAACTCGCTTTGACTGAATGACTGAAATAAAAATGAATGAATGAAGACATTAGGCGAGTTACATTCAAAGAGTTATGTTCTCGAGTACATGTAATCGGAAACCATGCAGTTTAAACTACTGACTGATTTTAAAAAAATGCTGTGTTCCGCGATCAAAATCGATTTAATTATATGTAATTAGTAATAGTAACTGGACCTCGTGTCGCACAATAGGCCACCCTATATTTTAACATGGCTCCGGGGCCTTCATGACAAACTTCTATGTTTGGTGTTGCATTCAACTCTCTTTTGGGAATTGAGAGACAAAAGACAATTAAAACAAAAAAAAGAAAAAGAAAAATACAGTTTTTACCCCGAAAGCCTCGGAACCATGTTAGAATATTGATATATCGCCGAACGGGGCCTATTCAGGGAATAATCGCGCGGGTAATTCCAAAATCGGACGAGCGCGTAGCACGAGGCCGATTTGAAATTACGAGCATGATTACTTCCTGAATCGTACGACACGAGGTCCAGTTACTAATTACTCGTATCTTTAGAAGCTTAAACAACGTGGACGGAGAAGCCGGGTTAGACGCCAAGTTAAAAATGAATTTTATCAGCGAAATTTGCAATTTTTTATATTTGTTCAGAACCCCAGCAGCTCTAAAAACGTGCTCAGGCTAAATATGCAATGACAGCGTTCAATTCCAAATGGAAATACGAAAAATTAGCCGTCGTCGTGCGCGTTCCTCAGACTACCAGGGACTTCGTCACTTCACGTTCTTGTTTTGCAGAGAAAAGCAAAAAAATGTACAAAGATTTTATAACGCACGTGCACAGCTAGTGTTTTGCTTATTAAACCTCTTTGTTTGATGACGTTCTCGGTGCCCTCGTCGTTGTGGTTTTCTTAAGTTTCCTTATTAAGACAAACTTTAAACTTAAAAAAAAAGAAAGTATTTTGAGAACTTCTTTTGACCGAAAACATCAGTAGCGCTCCCCATAAGTTTTCAAAACTGTGGGAAACATGAAGAAGAAAGTCATTAAAGCGCGTATAATTGACTCGTAAATTACGGAAGTATCCAATCACAGGTGTTCAATTGAAACTTCTTTGTAATTGGATACGTTTAATTGGACACCCATTTTGATTGATCTTCGAATATGCGACGAATAGGCGCACGAAGAACCAATCACGATCCATAATTTTAATATAGATATGCTCATCGTAAAATTATAATTTGGTTGGGGGTAAGAGCTGCTATCTACATAACCTTATTTCAATTTCAAACTCGAATGTCATGCTTCTCTCCAAAATACTGTAGTCCCAATGGTCATATCTATGCTTTTTTTTTTCCAAGTAGCATTGCAAGCGCTAACTTTGCAAATTAAAGTTAACAAGTTGCAAGTTGTTTTACGTCTTAATTCGGCCTTTATTTTTCCCATACTTCGTACCGACAAAAGAAAAAAATATCATGAAAGCTACGTAGTCGCTTTCAAACTATAACGTATTACTCAAAAGCAAAATTTCGCCGCCTTCTCTGTAAGAAGGGGATATGGAGTTTAAGCAGCTAGTACCACGACGCCCAGGAAATATCAATCAAAAAACAAATCAAGTATATAAAGTAGCCAAAATACCACCGATTATCACCGACGAGATTTCGCGTCACACTATTACACAGACAGAATTACCTCGCCGATGATCATGAGGTCTTGTGTCCCCTATTTTGTGATATGGTTAGACTAGTACGAGTAAGAGCTTGTGTTTAATACAATGATCTATTATTATTATTATTAAGAAGCAACGTATGGAATCAATAGTTATTCTTCCAAAAAAGATGACCTCCAGTACTTCCGTGACGTCATCTGCAAACACCATTGTATAGAGACGCTCGGACATTAAGTGCTGTAGTGTTTTGTCTTCAACATATCGTCACCGCTCCTTTATTATTGATTTTCGGATTATAGTAGATTAATCGTTTGTTATTTATTACCTAGATATTTCAAAGTATAAACGTATATATTACATGATCCCAGTAGATTGCACGAGGGCTGATTCCCTGACCACGAACCATTCCTCAAGCAGTGACGTTCAGAGGGCCCTTTCAGCCAGTAACCAGGCTTACAACTGAATGAAACTCTCTTCCCTTCCCAAAATTGCTGACCATAAATAAAACCAAGTTCCAGGCTTTCGAGAGGTGGGCAGATTCTTCGACCTTAATTAAAGTGAATGGAGGTACATGTATAAGTAGCGTGCTATCGAACAAAACTTTACTAATGTATCTCGTTCAAACTGTTTTACATACATTTCTTGTTAACATCGACCAGATTACTACAAAGGCACGCAGACGGAAACATAAATCACATTACTTACATGTAGGTTGTATACCACTCCAGTTACCAGAAGGCAGGCACACTCTAGTTGTTGGTCCAATTAAGCGATATCCCGGATGACAAATGAACGACACAGATTCCCCAGTCCAGTATCGTGANTGTTGTTGTGAGAATGCAAAATTTTATTTAAAAAAAAAAAAAAAAAAAAAAAAAAAAAAAAAAAAAAAAAACTAGAGCGTTTCTGTCGCGGAACTATCGGCTGATAATTGCCTAGCGAAAATTTGATGTTCTTAAAGCAAATATGCAAGTTTAAAGAGTGTCGAATTTCTAAGGGGCAACTATTAGGCCGATAGTTCTGAGAGATAAACAGTTTATTGTCTTTATTGTTCACCACCAAATTTTCTTCCGGGAGCTAGTTTAAACATCGTATCGAATTATTCCCAACTGTTTTAGATGAAACCCGTTCAAACCAAATGTAAATTTGAAAAAAGAAAACAGACAAAAACCAATTTAAAACAATTTCAATTGTTTATTTTCTATAAGCCCGCCGGTTTACAGATAAATTTTCATGGACGAGTACAATCCATCCGGGTATTTTCTTCGGACGGGCACTATGGGCTGACAGTGTCTCTCCGCGGATGAACCCTATCGCGTCACGTAATTAACTTAAACCAATAAGAATTGAAGAAAATAACGGGTTATAGAATACTTGTACGTGTTCATATGGCGCTACCACTAATATCTACCTTCTGCCCACAAACCCCCTCCCCACCCAATCACCCACCCCAAATGATACCTCTTGTCACATACCTACAGTACGTTTTTACCGACAAAATCTCTCTATCGTAAAAGGCCCTCCAGGAAATTTCTGCCCTAAATAATTTCAATTCACGCAAGGGAAGTTGTCAGTTAAAGCACTTGCAAACGGTTAAAGATGTCTTATTTAACCGAAACTGCTTTGAGTTATATCCAAAGTACACTGTTTGTATAGCTGACATTAATTTACACTACAGATTCAATATTTTCCAAAAACATCTCGGTATAGCAGATAGTTAACATCGCAAAATGTCTTTTTCTTACAGACCTTATAGAAAATGAACTCATTTTCCATTTAAGTCAGGGAACAAAAAGAAATGAACTGCTGACATACTCAGAGTTGTGTTGGCTTCCGCTGTCCCATTCTTATCATTTTCGAATAGACACGTGTAGATCCCAGCGTCACTCGGGTTGACGTGATGAATCACAAACTCACTTGTTATCAAATCATTCTCCTCGTGCGCCACCGTAGAAATTATGCTTCCATCCTTGAACCATTTGACTTTAGGTAGCGGCAAGCCACGGGCAGAACAATTTAACTTGACAGAATCACCAACATTCTGCACTCGTATTTCACTGGGAGGACTAGACACTATGTACGGATTCACTTAAAGAAGTAAAAACATCAATCATTATGTCCGCTCTATCTTCTCAAACGAAAAAAAAAAAAATATAGAGAACATAATTTTTGATTCTAAGCTTACCAACATCTTTCACAATGATCCATATCACTCCCATGATACCCCTCATGGCCAATTCATTAGCTCCCTGGCAAACGTAAGCACCGCCATCATCCTCTGTTGTGTGTTTTATCATAAGTTTGTTCCCATGAATGACATGTCTGTTGATTGGAAGTTGCTTGAGTGGTCTTGACCACGTGATCACAGGGAAAGGATAACCAAATATGTCACATTTGAGAATCATGTCCCAGTTCTTGTAAGCAGTTACTGAACTCTTTGGCTTTGTGACAAACTTTGCAGGTACTACAAATAGAGTAGGAAGAATAAAGAACTGATAACATATAGAGTCTCTAGATCGAACTTATTTTGTCATTGTCTGAGTTTCATAAGGTAAAATTACTTGGTATCAAAAGAAAAATTGATGCTCGCTTTGTACATTATCATTGATTATTGTCGATATGTAAAATTGAATCTACAATGGGTGACAAAAGTCTTTAGACACTTTGCTGTTTTGGATTACTTAAAATGAATTTGACCCCTCAACTCTACGATACAACCTCCTGATCCTCTCTCTTTCCTGTGCACCATTGAAAAGGGGTAGGGGGTATAGCTTTCAATATAAACCGAATTTTAAATGGAATAATTGAAATATTGAAATTAGGACTCGATTCAGTCAACTTTCTAAACTACATTTGACACCCATTGTAGGTTTGCCTAAATTAAATCTACTACTGAACAGTATACGTGAAAAACTAGGCTGAAGTCCGAGTTAATTCAGAGAAATTATCTCTGGTATGGTCAGTGAGAAATGTTGTTTCGCTATTCTCTTCAAGGTGCAGTCAATTGTTCTAAGTGCAAGTTGCAGATAACGCTTCAAGTTTGCTTTACTCTTTTGTGAGGTGATGTTGAAACCAGGACGAGGTCACTTGTTTCCAAATATAACGCCGAGGTAATTACATTCGTTAAATTCAATGCTGCNACACTCCCCAGTTCATTAGCTCCCTGGCAAACGTAAGCACCATCGTCATCTTCTCTTGTGTTTTCAATCGTAAGTTTGTTACCATCAATGACGTGTCTATGGATCGGAAGTTGCTTGAGTGGTCTTGACCACCTGATCACAGGAAATGGATAGCCAAAGATATCACATTTGAGAACTGTGTCCCATGATTTATAAGCGGTGACTGATTTCTTTGGTTTTGTCACGAATTTTGTTGGTGCTGCAAATATAACAGATATGACAAAATAATTAACTGAAATAGCAATTTGCTTATGAATATTTTACAAAAGGTTTCATTATGGATTGTCTTAGTTCCATAAGTTAAAAACAACAAGATGTGTATTTACA